TCTCAGTTAACCAAGTATTACCTGCTCTTCACCTGGGTTAAGTGATCTCCCACAGGATAGACTGGAGTGACATGGGAGGTGGCTCACCCACAGCTCCCCAGGTTGTGGTGTAACTACACTGAAATTTGAAATTCAAATTCAAACCTTTGAAAGTCTTTTTAGGAAGAACTTTCTTAGGCAGTCATTTCTAGAAGAACTTCTAACTGATTTGCAAGGATTTTTGTATCAGCAACAGGATTTGATATGAGGGTCTTGTTATCCCTGGCTACTGTTGTTATTTTTCAGTCTCTTATTTCATGTTTTCCCCTTGTCTAATGAAAGTACAAATGGAAGCAGGGGATATCACATTCTAGGTGTGGAGCAAGAGTTTTAGAACCAGATTTTTGACTTCTGACAGAATAACAAAGTATATAACTTTCTCTGTGTGCACTGTGAGAGGCAGTGGGAAAGGCTGACATGAGGTTTTCGTGTGGTGGAGAGGTGGTTTCTGTCCCTGTCTCACCAAGAGATACTTCATCGCTACAGCTTCTTTTTCAGTGATGTGTGAAGCTGTGTGGAGGGTTGTTCACAGAATACAGACATCTTCTGTAAGGAGTTAAGATGGCCTGTCCTATGGCTGGTATGTCTTCACTTTGAAGAAGCAGTATCTGTAGTGAGAAAGGAAATGAAAGGTCTGTCATCCCAGCCCAGAATAAAAGTGTTAAGTGTTTTTTTTCTTTTGTGGAATGGCACCTTTTACAGGCTTGAAACAGTATCACTAGTGGCAGAGGAGCAGTGAGAACAGAAATCCTGATGTACCATACTCTTCTACTCCAATAGACTAACTTTTCATTAAAAAACCCTCAACTTAAGACCTCTTTCTTAATAAAACAGAAGAAAATTTTGGCTTGACATAATTCAGCTTCTGAGATGCTGTTTCTTAGCTACAGTGGAGGCCAAAAGCTTATGGAATTAGTTGCTTCTTTTAAAGTGCATTGAAGAGGCCTGTCAAAATTAGAATCTCTTTTAGTAGGACTAAATGTATATCTGGGAATATCTTAACTGAAGGGTACTGAAAACTGAATGAGAAGATTCCCTTGCTCAGATTATGGCAGACAGCCACAGAATGAGCATACAGGGCACAGCTATGTTAAACTGTGTTACGTGTTTTGGTAGCTGTTGCAAGACCCTGGCATGTGATCTTGAGTTCCTTGTCATGCTGCATGTAACTGATGTGATACACCTGATTTCCCTCCCATTTCAGGAAAGGTGTGGGATTTATTCTAAGAATCTTGGGTATCCTTTGAAATGAGAAGTATCTATATGGACCACAGACCTTCCCCACAGTGCTAACCCTTACTTGCACTCATGATCGCTGGATGGTCCAGTCAAGCTCTTGCCATGTAGATGCTTTCCAGAGTTATCTGCTGTGATCTAGTCCAGCTGAGGAAATGAAGTGGATATTCATTAAATCTTGTGGTAGCTTCTCCTGTTTCTCTTTTAGCACAGCTTGAAATGGCTTAAATAGAATACCGGAAGCTCTTGTACTTGTGGAAGTTAGATTCCCGCTATCTTTCAAACTTGGCCTTAGAAATGAAATTAAACTTCGAAGCTTTCAACAGAAAAGTTTCTTTGGGTTATGTTAGTGCACCAGCAGGAGTCACATCCCATTAGGATGGAATAAGGCAGCTAAGGCAAAATAAGCTTGTTTGGTTTCTCTGCAGTGCTCAAGACCTGATGGGCAACATTAATTCTCACAGATGTTGCTGGGCCTTATTATTACAGCATGAGTGTGCTGAGCTGGGGTGTGTGGCTGCTCAGTCACCTCTTGCTCACGGATGTTTGCCTTCACAGCAGCAATACCTTCAGTGTGTTCTCATGCAATCACCCTGCAGCTTAAGTGTGACCCACCACCCAAACCCCTTATGCAACATGGTTGGCTTCAACATGGCTCAGCTGAAAAGAGGAGGCAAAGAAAGATGGAGGGAAACTGCAGTCCTCACCCAAATAGTAAACCAGTACTGCAGCTCCAGGACCAAAGTGGTCACCTAGAGCTGGTTTTAGTCCTGTGAACTTGACTTCCTCTCTCTGGATCTTTGGAAATAGAGGTCCTCTAACAACATGGCATCCAGCAGGAAAAAAACAAGTGTCAGAGCTTGCTCCAAAAGGCAAGAACAGCTTTGTTGCTAGTTTATAAAATTACATATGCGGTATTTGTTGTAAGTCTGTGTTCTCTTGGAGTGTGGATGGGTAGATCTATGTGTTATAGGTTAGACCTTGCAAAATGGCTGAGGACCTGAGTGAATAGCAAGTACTTCGCCAACACTGTTGCTGTTGCTCATTCCTAATTTTCCAAGAAAAGAAGGAAAAAAAAGCAACTCCCACATTGAAACCTACAGTACTTAAAACTGGGATCTAAAAGGGAGGCTGGCAGTGAGAATCTGCCACTTTTCCCCCCGCATGAGTGCGGATAGCCGTGTCCTGCCCCAGTCTTCATAGGAATGCAAGGAGGGGTGATACAAAGCATAGAGCACCCTGACATGTAGCACACAGGAAAAGGTTGGATTTGCTTAGATTCAGGGTGGAGGAAAAGTGTTCCAGTTTACGAATGCATACTCCAAACTCTTGGTTGTCTGTTGACTGATTTCATTGCTACTGTGATGGACCATAATCCTCATGAGGGTAATTATTCTGCAGGAGGAAACTTGCAATCAGTAAAGTCGGGTTTGAAGCGTTGTTAGTCTGTGATACAACGCAGAGATGGAGAGGACTTTGCTATGAATTGTGAGAGTCACTGTAGTGACTCCTGCAGGCTCTAGGAGTGGGGTTGGAAGGACCTGTAGTATGACAGGAATGTGTGTAAACCATCTGAGTGACAAATTTGATGGTGACTACCTTGATTAAAACTATAACTGGTAGGAAATCCTTCTGTTGGCTGCAGGTACAAGCTATTCCTTGTTCCTGGGCCAGTAAAGATCCACTTTAGACTGAACTTCTCTTGAGTTGTTTCTGCAAAGTTGTTATAGACACAAGAAGTGCATTCCCCTTTAGTGCACTCACTGGAATTGCAGATGTAAGAGGGCGGTTGAGCTCTAAACGGACAAGCTTTGCTCCTGAATAACTGGAGGTATAGTCCAAACCTCTTCAAAATAACTTTATTTTTTTTACCAGAGTGCTGCTGATCATAGCCTCTTCCCTACAAACACTCTCAAAAAAAGTCTATCTTAAGTAATCAAGCAGCCAGACCTGGTCACACCCGCAGTACTTGGCAGCTTCTGGTGTGGTTCATTCCTGATAATGCTCAACCCATGTCTCTTTAGCCTGACCTGGCTGATAGCACTGCAAGCTGTGCAAGCATGTGTTTGAGTTATACATCTGGGGTTCTGATGGAGTTGGTTTAGTTAGAGGATCAGCCTTTTGAATAGCAGAGTAAATAACCAATTCTGGTGATTAATTTGTGTGCAGAATGGCTCTGTCACATTGCAGGGAAGTGATGATAGTCTCCTTCTACTTCTATAGTTGCAGCTGCAGGCAAAGTTTGGCATGTGCAAGAAACAGACCGACGTAAAACCCAGTCAAGCCACCTTTATTACCTATTCTTACGAAGTCAGCTTCTCAGTAATACACAGTAACAGACACCTTCCAGTCCACTGTCCCTCTCTTTTGAGAGTACAGGTGGGGGAAAACCCCCCTAAAAATAACAAAAGGAAAGAGACTGCATGTGAGTGATCCCACTGCAGCCACTTTAAGTGCTCCGGTAGACTGGAAGTGATGCTGGGGAAGAGGAATACTGGGGACACTGGAGATGAAACAACCCATTTAAGAAAAACGATGCTGAATCACACTGGGGTGGTGTTTGCCTGCCATGTAAGATTTCTGTTAAGGGGTGGGGAGGACTCTGAGGTGGGAAAACTTGTAGGCTTTTATAAAGATGGTCTAG